ATGCTAACATTTTTGTTGACACATCTACAATAAGGAAAACACTTAAACAAGAATGGAGTACATGGGAGGACACCACGGAGGAAGCCATTGCTGTCCAAAAAGAATATTGCAGCACGTTTGAAGTTTGCAAAAGAGCACCTGGATGTTCCACAGCACTACTGGCAAAATATACTGTGGACAGATGAAACCAAGATTGAGTTGTTTGGGAAGAACACACAACACTATGTGTGGAGGAAAAAAGGGCACAGCACACCAACATCAAAACCTCATCCCCACTGTGAAACATGGTGGAGGGAGCATCATGGTTTGGGGCTGCTTTGCTGCCTCAGGGCCTGGACGAATTGTTGTCATTGATGGGAAAATGAATTCCAGAGTTTATCAAGACATTTTGCAGGAAAACGTACGACCATCTGTCCACCAACTGAAGCTCTGCAGAGGATGGGTGATGCAACAGGACAATGACCCAAAGCATACAAGTAATTCAACAAAAACAATGGCTGCAGCAGCACAGAATACGCCTTCTGGAGTGGCCCAGTCAGAGTCCTGACCTCAACCCGATTGAAATGCTGTGGCATGACCTTAAGAGAGCGATTCACACCAGACATCCCAAGAATATTGCTACACTGAAACAGTTTTGTGAAGAGGAGTGGTCCAAAATGACTCTAGATCGTTGTGCAGGTCTGATCTGCAACTACAGGAAACGTTTGGTTGAGGTTATTGCTGCCAAAGGAGGGTCAACCAGTTATTAAGTCCAAATGTTCACATACTTTTTCCTCCTGCACTGTGAATGTTTACATGTTATGTGCAATTAAACCATGGCAACATCTAATGTTTGTGTTAGTATTATGTTCAGCAGACTGTGTTCTTCTATTGTTGTGACTTAGATGACGTTCAGAGCACATTTTATGCCCAATTCATGCAAAAACTCCACGTAATCCCAAGGGGTTCACATACTTTTTCTTGCAACTGTACATTGTCAGGTCACATTCATCCCTACTGATCACCCTACAGATACATACATTGTCAGGTCATTCATCCCTACTGATCCTCCTACAGATACATACATTGTCACCAAAATTCCTTAGAGGTAATTCATTCTTCTGATCTCTTTACAGCTCTGTGTAGGAAGCCGTATTTGACAATACTGAAGATGAATCCTGATAAGATATTTTATGATATTGGGGATACAGTGATATTAAAGTGTCCGATTGGATATCACCCTTCCTACCCCTCTGTACGATGTGTGAAGAGTGGAACCTCCCCATTGAGTGGGATAATCGTCCACAATGTATAGGTGAGTAGTAAACCTCAATATACAGACTACAGGAACCCAGACCAACCAATCAGCAGCCACCTCTCTTTGGTGTGACTCATCTAAACTGATGTAACATAAAACCTGATTGGTGCATTGCCCTCTACACCTCATTCCTGTCTGTACGGCCTTATTACATACATAGTCCTGTATATTAGATACACTTTGTATAGTGAACATGGGAATACTGGATGCTGTCCAACTCAATCTCCATCTATCATTGTAATCAGAACCGATATCAGCGAACCCCATGGGGGGGCGATGTGATTATACATCACACTTAATGCTGATATCATCTACAATCTTCCCATGGAGACTTCCCTGACTTCTCTTCAAAGTGTCAATAACTGCTTGATGGAAAATACACGTTGCTGCTAAAACCACCGAAAAAAACGTATCTACATTTAATTGAATACAATGAATAAAATGAAATGAATCAGATTGGGGCGCTTCTGCTGTATATAAGACAAGATAATTGTACAAGGAAATAATCAGTTCCTCTGTGCATGCTGTCGCTGAGACTGTCCCTGAAAATCGGACTGTTCTGTAACACCGTGTGCAGCTTTAAGGCGTCCCCCAAGCCTGTAGTCTAAAGGATTTGTATATATTCAATGTTGTCCTCAAAAGCCACATGAGAAGGACCCCGGCCCTACTGTATGGTTTCTAAAAACAAAATTTGGCTTTCGTACTTGTCCCCTTGGCAGTACCTGACCTCCCATGCCTGTTGTTTTGCCAATTGCTTATTGATTAGTCCTACAAATTGCCAGAATTTAGTTGCAGGGTTTTCCCTCCATGGACTCCATTTATGTTCTCAGCAAAGTTTGGGGTTTACCAGGTTTTCAGCATAATTCGCAAAATGCCTTTTGAATCACACCCAGGCCTCTTCAATCTTCACTACTCTTCATATCACACCCAAGAATTACTTTCCTGAAAAAACAGAGAGCTTGGTTAAGTTAAATTGTGACAAAGAAACGTGGGAAAGGAAGGAGAAACGTTCAGTCTGTATCATCTTCAATGAAAGTCAAATCATAATTCAAAGATCTTCTATGACACCCGAGAGGATACATCCCTAGTGAGATCCCACCTAGTGCACACCGGTCAGTCTATTCCCAGTGAGATCCCACCTAGTGCACACCGGTCAGTCTATTCCTAGTGAGATCCCACCTAGTGCACACCGGTCAGTCTTTTTCCCAGTGAGATCCCACCTAGTGCACACCGCTCAGTCCATTCCCAGTGAGATCCCACCTAGTGCACACCGGTCAGTCTTTTCCCAGTGAGATCCCACCTAGTGCACACCAGTCAGTCTATTCCCAGTGAGATCCCACCTAGTGCACACCGGTCAGTCTTTTCCCAGTGAGATCCAACCTAGTGCACAACATCGGTCAGTCTTTTTTCCCAGTGTGAGATCCCACCCTAGTGCACACCGGTCAGTCTACTCCCAGTGAGATCCCACCTAGTGCACACCGCTCAGTCTACTCCCTGTGAGATCCCACCTAGTGCACACCGGTCAGTTTATTCCCAGTGAGATCCCACCTGGTACACACCGGTCAGTCTATTCCCAGTGAGATCCCACCTAGTGCATACCGCTCAGTCCATTCCCAGTGAGATCCCACCTAGTGCACACCGGTCAGTCTATTCCCAGTGAGATCCCACCTAGTGCACACCGGACAGTCTATTCCCAGTGAGATCCCACCTGGTACACACCGGTCAGTCTATTCCCAGTGAGATCCCACCTAGTGCACACTGCTCAGTCCATTCCCAGTGAGATCCCACCTAGTGCACACCGCTCAGTCTATTCCCAGTGAGATCCCACCTAGTGCACACCGCTCAGTCTATTCCCAGTGAGATCCCACCTAGTGCACACCAGTCAGTCTATTCCCAGTGAGATCCCACCTAGTGCACACCGCTCAGTCTATTCCCAGTGAGATCCCACCTAGTGCACACCGGTCAGTCTATTCCCAGTGAGATCCCACCAGGCACACACCGGACAGTCTATTCCCAGTGAGATCCCACCTAGTGCACACCGCTCAGTCTATTCCCAGTGAGATCCCACCTAGTGCACACCGCTCAGTCTATTCCCAGTGAGATCCCACCTAGTGCACACCGCTCAGTCTATTCCCAGTGAGATCCCACCTAGTGCACACCAGTCAGTCTATTCCCAGTGAGATCCCACCTAGTGCACACCGCTCAGTCTACTCCCAGTGAGATCCCACCAAGTGCACACCGGTCAGTCTTTTCCCAGTGAGATCCCACCTAGTGCACACCAGTCAGTCTATTCCCAGTGGGATCCCACCTAGTGCACACCGGTCAGTCTTTTCCCAGTGAGCTCCAACCTAGTGCACACCGGTCAGTCTTTTTCCCAGTGAGATCCCACCTGGTGCACACCGGTCAGTCTACTCTCAGTGAGATCCCACCTAGTGCACACCGCTCAGTCTACTCCCTGTGAGATCCCACCTAGTGCACACCGGTCAGTCTTTTTCCAGTGAGATCCCACCTAGTGCACACCAGTCAGTCTATTCCCAGTGAGATCCCACCTAGTGCACACCGGTCAGTCTTTTTCCCAGTGAGATCCAACCTAGTGCACACCGGTCAGTCTTTTCCCAGTGAGATCCCACCTAGTGCACACCGGTCAGTCTTTCCCAGTGAGATCCCACCTAGCGCACACCGCTCAGTCTTTCCCCAGTGAGATCCCACCACCAGCATACATACAGTGCCTTGAAAAAGTCTTCATACTCCTTGAAATTTTCCACATTTTGTCATGCTGCATTGAAAACGGTCCTTATCCTTTGATATCGAGTCCTCCTATTGGCTCCCAAAGGAAAATATGAATCTCAAAAAAAAGAAAACTCATATAGGGCATTAACTTTATTAAAAAAAAATCAATTAAATACCCATATACCATATGCACTGTGCAACTTCAAAAAAAATTTGACATTTAAAGTGAAAAGTGAACACTGTGTAACAATAGTGCGTCACTCTGTGAGTAAAATAATCCAAGTGATCATTCAGTGTACATTTCTACAGTGTAAGGCATATATACCTTTATCAAAACACAACCAAAAAAAACGCCTTTATAATACTGCGGAGACAAGTATCTCGCTCCCACGAATTTCTTTCAAGCCTGAATACCACTCCTTACGATGTCATCAACCACCTTCTCCTAGATGTCATCAACCACCTTCTCCTAGATGTCATCGTGGCTTTTTAGGAAGTACTCCATAGTACTTATAGTACCCATGCTCCATGCGAGTGATATATAAACAGGATAAAGTGTAATTCCGTTATGGGATTAATAAACATATACTTTACTAGCTGCTTACATCAATTAACCATTTCCATACCGGGCAATTTTCCACCTTCCTGCCCAGGCCAGTTTTCACGTTTCAGCGCTCTCACACTTTGAATGACAATTGCGCGGTCATACAACGTTGTACCCAAACTAAAATTTTATCATTTTCTTCACACAACTAGAGCTTTCTTTTGGTGGTATTTAATCATCGCTGGGGTTTTTATTTTTTGCTAAATTAACAAAAAAAAAAAAAACATTTTGAAAAAAAAACACGTTTTTTTTGTTTCTGTTATAAAAGTTTGCAAATAAATAATTGTTCTTCATCAATTTAGGCCGAGATGTATTCTGCTACATGTCTTTGGTGAAAATAACCCAAATTAGGATGTATTATTTAGTCTGTAGGAAAGTTATAGAGTTTTCACAAACTATGGTATAGATCTGAATATTGATCAATCCTGAAGTACTGACAGCCAATCTAATTTCTTGAGGTCCAAGAAAGTCAGAATAGTACAGATATCCCCCAAATGTCAGAACAGTACAGATATCCCCCCAAATGTCAGGACAGTACAGATATCCCCCAAATGTCAGAACGGTACAGATATCCCCCCAAATGTCAGGACAGTACAGATATCCCCCAAATGTCAGAACAGTACAGATATCCCCCAAATGTCAGAACGGTACAGATATCCCCCAAATGTCAAAACAGTACAGATATCACCCAAATGTCAGGACGGTACAGATATCCCCCAAATGTCAGGACAGTACAGATATCCCCCAAATGTCAGGACGGTACAGATATCCCCCAAATGTCAGGACAGTACAGATATCCCCCAAATGTCAGGACAGTACAGATATCCCCCAAATGTCAGGACAGTACAGATATCCCCCAAATGTCACCAAAGAAAGAAATGTACCATGTACATTTCACCAAAGAAATGTACAGATATCCCCAAATGTCAGGACGGTACAGATATCCCCCAAATGTCAGGACAGTACAGATATCCCCCAAATGTCAGGACAGTACAGATATCCCCCAAATGTCAGGACGGTACAGATATCCCCCAAATGTCAGGACAGTACAGATATCCCCCAAATGTCAGGACAGTACAGATATCCCCCAAATGTCAGGATGGTACAGATATCCCCCAAATGTCAGGACAGTACAGATATCCCCCAAATGTCAGGACAGTACAGATATCCCCCAAATGTCAGAACAGTACAGATATCCCCCAAATGTCAGGACGGTACAGATATCCCCCAAATGTCAGCACGGTACAGATATCCCCCAAATGTCAGGACGGTACAGATATCCCCCAAATGTCAGGACGGTACAGATATCCCCCAAATGTCAGCACGGTACAGATATCCCCCAAATGTCAGGACAGTACAGATATCCCCCCAAATGTCAGGACAGTACAGATATCCCCCAAATGTCAGAACAGTACAGATATCCCCCAAATGTCAGAACAGTACAGATATCCCCCCAAACCCCTTTTTGCAGAGTAGACAGTCCGACGTACTTCATAAGAGGCATGGCGAGTTTTTTGAAGTTGTATATTTTTTGTCATAATTTTTCGGAAAATGAAAAAATTAAAAAAATTAGTTTCACTATTTTTTTTTTTTTTTTTTTACATACTGTCACCAGTGCAGTACAGCGTCATCATATAACTGGCATGGCAGTGATAAGGGACACTGACTGGTGACAGTATGCAAAAAAAAAATATATATATTTTTTTTTTTTTTTTTTATGATTTGGCCACAGCTAATCACATGACATGTGCATGTGATTAGCTGTGACCATTTACAGCTAGACAGTAGTATACAATGGATGGCATGAATGAAGCCATCCATTGTATACAACTGTCATGTGACCTGCTGTGATTGGTCACAGCAGGTCACATGGTACCGGCAACGGGGGCCGATACTCAGATCTGTCATCGACCGTGTCCGAGGTACACGGCCGGTGACAGATCGTGCCACTGCGTGGCTCTGCAGGAGCGCGATCTGTGCATGTGCGGGAGGACGCCATATGGCGTCCACCCAGAACGCTGATGACATTTGCTGGCTGCCATTCGGCCATAGGGCGGGTGGCAAATGGTTAAATAATAAAACGCTTGATTCCTATACCCTCTAACCTCTACGGTCGCCGAGCAACCTCCGGGATTGTTTGGCATGTGAAATTCCATTGTCCAAGATGGCCGATACGCCACTTCCGGTTCCTCTCCTGTGCATCCGACGTCACTTCCCTTGACACGTTTCGTCACATCCAGGACTTAGTCATAAGGGGTGTCTGTTGTGGGCATACTAAGTCCTGGATGTGATGAAACGCGTCAAGGGAAGTGACATCGGATGCAGAGGAGAGGAACCGATATCAAAGGATCTGTAAATTTCCATTATTGGAATCAAAGATTGGAGTGACTTTACTTTTGGACACGAGTGACATATTTTTTTTTATATTTTTGGACATATAATTATTTAATTATTTCCTTTTGGGTTCATGTATTGCATGTATTTAATTTTTTGGCTTTCAGTATATGAAAAGTTATTCCACAATTTTAGGGATATTTTAATATACATATTGGAGTTATATTGAGTTTTATCGTAAGCAGAGCCATACAAAGCAGTGTGCAGGAGCTGACAAGGGAGAGATCTGTGTTTTTTACATACAGGTCTCTCCCCCATCTGTGATACACTGTGATAACCAGGGGCTGGTGGGGAATCACCAGCAAAGACATTGACATGCTGAGGCTGCCAGTGGTGGCAGGGGCATGCGTCCCCTACCCGGAAATGTAAAATCACGTATATATACACGTGACTTTGTGCACCCCTGCCACCCTGTAGCAGTATTTCTCCTACAGAGCAGCGGGAAAGTAGTTAAAGAACATTAGTGAACAAATAGCATCATGAAGGCCAAGGAACACACCAGACAGGTCAGAGATAAAGTTGTGGAGACGTTTAAAGCAGGGTTAGGTTATAAAGAATCTCCCAAGCTTTGACCATCTCGCGGAGAACTGTTCAATCCATCATCCAAAAATGGAAAGAGTACGGCACAACCTACCAAGACATGGCCGTCCACCTAAACTGACAGGCCAGGCAAGGAGAGCATTCATTAGAAAAGCAGCCAAGAGGCCCATGGGAACTCTGGAAGAACTGCAGAGATCCACAGATCAGGTGGGAGAATCTGTTCACAGGACAACTATTAGTCGTCACTCCACAAATCTGGCCTTTACGGAAGCGTGACAAGAAGAAAGCCATTGTTGGAGGAAAGCCATAAGAAGTCCCGTTTGCAGTTTGTGAGAAGCCATGTGGGGGACACAGCAAACATGTGGAAGAAGAGGCTCTGGTCAGAGAAGACCAAAATTGAACTTTTTGGCCTAAAAGCAAAATGCTATGTGTGGGGGAAAACGAACACTGCACATCACCCTGAACACACCATCCCCACCGTGAAACATGGTGGTGGCAGCATCATGTGGTGGGGATGCTTTTCTTCAGCAGGGACAGGGAAGCTGGGCAGAGTTGATGGGAAGATGGATGGAGCCAAATACAGGGCAATCTTAGAAGAAAACCTGTTAGAGTCTGTAAAAGACTTGAGACCGGGCCAGAGTTTCCAATTCCAGCAGGACAACAACCCGAAACATCCAGCCAGAGTCACAATGGAATGGTTCAGATCAAAGCATCGTCATGTATTAGAATAGCCCAGTCACAGTCCAGACCCAAATCCAATGGAGAATCTGTGGCCAGACCTGAAAATTGCTGTTCCCAGACGCTCTCCATCCAATCTGACAGAGCTTGAGCGATTCTGCAAAGAAGAATGGGCAGAAATGTCCCTCTCTAGACGTGCAAAGAGACATCCCCAAAAAGACTTGCAGCTGGAATTGCCGCCAAAACGGGGTCCTACAAAGTATTGACTCCGGGGGGCTGAATACAACTGCTGCCCCACACTTTTCACAGATTTATTGGTCACAAATGTTGGAAACCATTTCTCATTTTCATCCACTTCACCTGTGGTAGTGAGCTTTTGTAGATATCCAACTTGGGGTTCCCCAGGGAGCGGAGTCTAAGCCCCAGCCTGCTTCTTCACTGGTACCCCTGATGGTGGGGATGTACTTACAGCAAGCTGGGACCAGGTCCCAGTTACGCCCAGCTGAGGATGAGGAGATTGCTCATGGGAGCAGAGAACAATGGGAGGAGACAAACGGAAATCAGATAGACTAGCCAAGGTCAGGACAGGCGGAAAAACAAGCACAGTCAGAGAACGAAGCTGGGGTCAGTACACAAGTGGTCAATGCAATATACAGGCAATAGCAACACACCGGAGCTCAGACAAATAGGAAGTTGCTCAGGCAAAGTGGTCTAGACTAAGCATGTCTTATATAGGCAGGCAAACAAGGAGGAGGGCCAGGAAGTGATGGAAAGGAAGGAAATAAAACCAGAGAACAGCAGACGACGCTCATAGGTGAGCACAGACAAACACACATGTGAAAGGGATCAGGAACCGCACTGCAGCAAGGAGGTGAGAATACAAACAAGAAACTGCAGGCTAACTTGTGACAGTACCCCCCTCTTACGAGGTCTCCCCACTTTTTTAGGGCCAGGCTTAAGGGGAAACTTCTAATGAATAAATTCCACCAGACGGGATGCAGAAACATCAGTAGAAGGAATCCAACACCTCTCCTCAGGACCATATCCCTTCCAGTAAATTAGATACAAGAGCTTCCCTCTGATGAATTTATAATCCAAGATTTGCTTGACTTCATACTGATCTGAAGTACTCACTATAGGAGGAGGGTGACAATGAGGACAGGAAGACCTGTTGATGATGTACGCTCTCAGAAGAGAAACATGGAAAACATTAGGGATTCTCAAATGTGAAAAAAGGTGAAGTTTAAAAGCAACAGGATTGACCTGGCGGAGGATGTTAAATGAACCAATAAAACGAGGAGCACATTTCATAGAGGGTACTTGTAGACATATATTCTTGGTAGAGAGCCAAACCTTGTCACCAGGGAGAAATTTGGGACTCACCCGGCGATGACAATCTGCAGCTACTTTGTACTTGGAAGCTGACAGATGTAAGTTCTTGGAAACATTTGCCTCGGAAGGAGTAAGAATGGGAGAATGTAAGACAGGAATCTGGGCTTGAGCAGACACCAATAACCAGGATGAAGGGTCTGGTGAGGAGGCTGCCAGGGAGGACACAGGAGTAGGCGTGAAGGCTTTGATTTGTACAGTGGGCAAGACAGGCTGTGCAGAGCAGGAACCTGGGGTAATACAGGGGATAGAGTGCACTGTAGGGTGTATGGGGGGCGGGACAGAGGGACACAGTAGGGTGTATTGGGGGCGGGACAGGGGACAGAAGGCACAGTAGCTACTAATGTGGAAACCACGGCTGGGTCCAAAGCAGCTGAAGGGAGTTTTGGGGTTTCAACAGGCAGGGCACACGAAGCTGGGAACTCAGTTGGTACAGAGGTCACAGATGTTGGGGCCTCCACCCATCCAGAAAGTAGTGAAATAGGAGCTCTGAGCTGCACAGTATGTAAAAGGGACCGATGGTTCGGGCAGCAAAGAGGGTAAGGAACTAGAGGTGGACATCACTGGAAAGGGGCCCACAATAGGAGTAGGCAGGGGAGCAGCTTTACTACAAGAAACATCTTGGAAGGCCTGGCAAT